ATTTTCAGCCAACCTTCTATTTTATACTCATACACAAGGCTCATGGTATCTTTGGATAGAAGGAGGATGGTATCCCTCTGTCTTTACCTGTAGATCTTATAGTACATAGCCTTCTCTGCATTTGGACCATTAGGTTCTTATTTATGTCCTTTGCATCTTTGAATTCTTCTCTAAACTGCATTGTAGCATTAATACTGCCAGTGTATTATCACCATGCCCTATCTGCAGCAATAAGCTTTCCCTGACCGATTTCTTCTTTTTCTCTTTTTAACATTACAACAGAAGTGTTCATTTAGTTGTTATAAGCTAATTTTTTCCATTCTCTTTATGTTATCTTTTGTAGGCTTTGTCTTTCAAGCTGTTGTGTTTCAATAAATCAGTACCTGTTGATGCCATTCAGAATAATGGAATGAATAAAATGGATGTGCGGTAGGTACATTGGTTTTTATAGCTGAAAGTTCATTATTCTTTCACTTGAACTTTACTGTTTTATATCTTTGTAGGATTGATCTGGTTAAAACAATTTGCACTGTGGCCTTGAATTTCATCCAATATGTTTCTGATTCACACGTTGTGTCCACCTGTATCCATATATTGGCAGAAATTTTAAAGTGGTACGTTTAGATATGTGTTTCTTTCCTCTTAGTTTTATGTTACTTCTTTTGTTGCATTATTCAAATGCATATCTTTTCCATAGGATAGGTATTTGTTTATTTATTAAAATGCTAGCCTATATTTTTTTAGCAGCTTTAGTTGTCATGATCCCAATTTCCGGATCTCAAAGGAACATTGGAGCCCTTCCAATATTTTTTTTCCTAAACATATGATCCATATCAAAATTTATCAAAGAGTTGCCAAAATTCCATTTATCATATGAATTAAAACCAACAACAATTATCTTACATAATCAAATAAAAGGGGATAAAAAGATGTTCCTCAATTTGAAATAAAATTCAACTTAAAGGAGAAAAATCTCATTATTACAAAAGCTTCTGAATATATCAAGTAAACATCAAAGTCTATTTAACATTCATCTAGAACTAATAATTTGCAACTTATTGCTCGCTTCTAAGAATCACAAAGCCAACAACTCCACCTAATTCCGAGTCTTTGAAAAAGGTGAAATAAATACAGTGAGTTCACAACTCAATAAGTGAATGAATTTGTACATTATACACTTGTTTTACAAGAACTAAAGATATAAATAATCATAAATCAAGAGTGCAATATAAATATCACCAACAAATCATTATACCATTTTGATGCTGTGAGTCAAAATAATCTTTCATGTAAATGGAAAAGTAAGCAAACCACGTCTCAATGCAATCTAACACTTCATCCTCCGGTTGACTTTGTAAACCTCACAGTCATAAACTGGTGGTTCGGGGATGGTGAAAATCAAATTTGCGCTCTTAGCTCTAAAATGAAAATTTTGTATAGGACCAGTAAGCCCAGTGTGACTTACTTTTTTCTCCTACACATACCGATATATTAACCTGAATGCATGTGTTTAATATAAGTGAACAAGGTTCAAATAGTCAGATACTTTATGCTAAAATGCCAAAAGCAAACCAATAATGGATCTCGAACTACATATGCATCTCAACCTGATACCATATGATAATGACGTGATTATCGTTAAAGAAATAAATTGAATACTCGTGTCTTCACAAAATATGAAACCAACAACATATACTTGAGCAAAATCATCTAAAATGACAGTCGTTCGTGGAACAAATATACATATACATAATATAATTTTAGATGAAAAATACATAGCACACAATGTATAAATTCACCCCTTACAGTATGCTCGAAAGACAATCCAAATTCCACTCAGGACGCCTCTACGGAACTTCTAGGAATCCCTATAGAATATCTACAAACTGTCACGGCCCGGTTCTAAAGTGTAATAATTTAGAACGTGACTCGGTCGACAATGCAGCCATTCGGCCACATTCACGCCTCTAGATCATTCTGTATACAGATGTAAAGTCAAAACTACACCATAGAGCATGTAACTAAGACAATAAAAGAAATATGTAGATGAAGAAATCTCCAAAAGGATGGAGTCCAACTACGATTTCACAACTATCCACAACGAGAAAGAAAATAATTTTTTTTACATCATAGTCTAGAAAAAGTCATATGCGACTCAAAAAAAAGTCTAAACTAACTGAACTGAAGAATTAATGGACTAAAAGATGATCACTGCCGCTCGACTTGCTCCTCAAAATATTCTCTGTCCTGCGAAGAAAGAACAGTTTCCGAGTTTGGGGTGCACAAACCCCTGGGGAGTCAGAAAACTCCCAACAAGCATGTAAAATGAAGAAATAGTGTGCATGTAAGTGTATGTGGCAGGTATAAAGAAAAGATAAAATCTAAATGAAAGGCGACTAAAAGAAATGATACTTGTACATATTAAGAAATAAGTCTATTACAAAGCATACAAGCACATTGTTATTATTTTACATGTTATTTGAATTAGAAGAGAATGATATCATGTATATATATCGGGTTCCCGTAAATCGTCCCGGGAACACGGCTTCAAGTCAAGATTGACCCTTGACCCTTATATATAACTCTGGATATCAAGGATGCGCATGAACCCACGTATATACATATTATATTTTTCGTCTAATTTTCCTTTATAAACCCCACATTTATCTATTTATTTTAAGTGGTTGTGTATGAAATATTATTCACTAACCACAGAGTTATTGTAGAACGGCTTTCGTAGAACTTATGAAAATAACCGTGATCCATAATATGTCCAATCAAGATGGGTGCATCATGTAGTCAATGCTATTATAATAATAGTAATAATCAAGAGAAATTTCTCACATAAGAATATCGATATTGAGGGTATAGCCATGCTATGATAACACGTTTATGAATCATATTTTTTGACGGAAGTCGCCCTCATGCACAATCAACCTTATTAAATGTCACTAGGTGATCAAATATAGCATCAGGTGATCCAACAAGCATCAAGAGATCAAACAATATCATCCTTCATCTTAATAAAAGAAAAAAAATAAATAAATAACATAATTGTTTGTGTCAAAGCGGGCCAAACAGGTTTGATTTGACAGCATAGAAATCTACAAAACTGATTTTAATGAGCACAAGGCCCAAACGGGTCTGAAATTTGAGTTTTAGACCCAAACGGGTCTAGTATTTTGAGTTATAAACCCAAACGGGTCTGGAAATTTTAGTTTTAGACCCAATCGGGTCTAGTCTTTTGAGTTATAAACCCAAACGGGTTTGGAAATATATATTGGATCCTAACCGGGTCAAACGAGTCTATAATTTAAATTATAAACCCAAACGGGTCTGAAAATTGATATTGTATCCTAACTTGGTTGGGTTTGAGTGCACAACAGACCCAAAATAGCTTTTGTTAAAAAAATGACGGGTAAGGGATTTGATCTATGGACCTTTGTGTCATAGTCAAAGGCAACTAACCACTACAAGCATCATACTTTAATGTCAATGTTAATGCAAGAAATTTCTAAATTTCGGTTCTAGTTATTTGTATGAGTCCTCAAAATACATTTTTTTGATAAGTAAATTATATATGTAAATATCTTTATACAAGCTTATGAAAGTTAACCTTCTGATTTATACAAAAAATTATGTGAATGTAACGCTACTAATAACAATCATAAGGTTAAGGTCTGGGAGAAAAAAAAGGATAATAAAAAGATATATCGTATGATTATAAAACCCTTGTTTTCTTGAAATAATTAGTAAAAGAGGGGTTTTACCTAATATATATAATATTAAATAATATATATATATATATAAATATATATTTATATATATTATATATTAATATATATTATATTATATACTCTTTCACTGTCTAAGAAAAAGAGAACGAAGCGTTGAGAAAAGAAGTTCTTTCTTATTAAAGAAGCTATTATTTAACTAGACTATTTATATTAAGAATAAATCATTAGAAAGAATTTTACCAAAAACATAACTATAATTAAAACAATAGTTTAGCATGAAGCTATAGGAAAAATAAACAAGCGCATATACTCTACGTTTATCTAGGTGGACGAATTTCCTACAGAGCATCAAATAGTTTAATAACAACAATTAAGAAAACAACTTCAAGATCACATAAACTAATGAATAACCAAAGTTTCCTCCTTTCATGAGGGCACTTCTAATAATTCAATATGTTGTAACCAATTGAAATTAACAAAGGATTTACTTAAGCATTTGAAGGCAAAATTGCAGGAATGAAAAAAAATTAATATATAGAAAAAGAAAACTTGAGATGAAAGTATGCTTGCCGATTTGTCAAAAACCGAACTCTAAAAGCAAAAGCTCAAAGATCCTTCTCAAGTCTTTCTCACGGTTCTCCTTTTTCTCTTTTTTTTTGTTTTGTTTCGGTGCGTTTTTCAAATGGCAGAGAAAGGAAAACGTTTTAAAGAATATATGTTGTTGAGGATAGATTTAGTAGTTAGAGATTTTTTAGGATATGAGGGATTTTGTTGTTGATATTTCAAAATTTTGATTTGTTAAAAAATGGGTTCGTAGTTACAGGGAAAACAGTTTTTTTGAGAGAAAACCACGATCAGATAAAACGCTAAACTGCAAGTGGCTGGATAAAACACTTGCTAAGGCCATTCATGAAATCTTTCATTTACTTGGGTCTTGGGCTAGGCTAAAATGGGCCTCCTATAGAAAAACAAGAAAAACTAACTGGACCTTAAAACCCTCATGCATGAATATGGACTTTGTATCTGTGAAAAAGAATTGGGTATTACACAAACAAATTTTAATAGTATTATATTTACCTTGTCACCTACTAGCCAATTAATAACATACATACTAGATCACAAATTGCTGTTCAACTATACTATTTGAAATAGAATTAGTTTAGTACAACACATTAGTTTTGTGCGTACTATCAGTCGAACACCCAACCATTAGTAGATTAGTATCCCTCTTAGTTATGAACTTATACCCATATCAATTTATAAGAGAACTGAAGAGGATTTGTGTTCAGAACAATTGAAATAGAATAGACAACAAGGATTTGCTCTGAAAATGGCTCACAATTGAGACCGAGATCCCGTCCGTAAAAGGGGACAAAAGGATCCTAGTCCTTATATAGAGGTTTCAAAGAAAACCATTACACTAGAATTTTCTTAAGCATGAGAATTAAAGGTAAGTATGTTGGACCCATGGCTGATTCACACAAACGAACAAATAAAAGCAATTGAGATTGTTGAACATATGATATCGTACATAAGCCCTCATATCTATCTATGATGCCAAAGATAGGATTAGAAAAAGGTAATACCTTGATTATTCTTTTTTTGATCCAAGCACCCTGTCTATCTTGAACGCCTATGTTTTTTTTTCATTTGGAGAAACAAACGCCGGAGAGAGAACATGAGAAAACGATAGGCGGCGAGGGATAAAATAATGTGGGGGTAGGGTTTTCTATATTTAAGATCTAATTTACATAAACCCCTCAAGAACAGCTCTATTATAAATATCACTATAGCTATTATTAGTATAGCCATAAACCCCTCCCCAAATATAATATTTACAAATTTAGTGAACCCAATTGTTTGAATATCTATTAAAAAAACAATTTATAAATTATGCTTATTATCAATAGGAAATTAGGGAAATTAGAGATATCACATTAGTCTTGTAAGCATTAATAGTTAGTTCAGAAGCTGTGGCTTTTTTGGGGCTATGATTTTAAGTTTATTAAGTTATAGTTACTCTGAAATAAATTTAATTTGAATTTTCTTTATTGTTGTTTCTGTTGCTGTGCTATTGTTTCCTTCTAGTTTCATATTGTGCTATTGTTTCTTTCTAGTTTCATACTTTAACATCTTGATTTACTTGTTAAAAGTAAGTTTTGGGAAATGAAGCTCTTTCAAAATCAGGTAAGTAAATGTGGACTATAACCAAATACGTATCCATCAATTACGTTATTAAGAATAGCACCAACGCTTCAATGCTAGTTTTTCCCTAGTTATTTTCATTAGTAGAAGATTCCTTTATGATGAATAAAGTTCTCATGACCTTCGTGTTTGTTTTCTATTCAACTTTCTGCTACTTACATCGAGTTCACTGTTAGATCTAAATTATGTTCTTTTGCGACAAATGGAGCATATATCTTTCTGCAAGGGTTTTAGTTTCTACTTTTTTTGTATCCACCTTTTCTCAATTGCTTTAGTGGTTTCTTCTGTTGAGAGATAGGCTCCCATAGGCTCCCTCTATCATCTATTCATATACCTTCATGTCTTCCAGTAACATTCATTTTCTGAAGTCCTTGACAAACATATTTTAATGGGCAGACTGCCGAGTTAGATACTCATTACATCTGCAGCCTGTTTGGAATCATGAGATGTTGACACACTATAGTGCAATGCATGCACGTGTTTATCTGGTTTGACCTTTTGTTTTGAAAATAAAAGTTTGAGGTGTTATTTGTTTCTAACACTATCCACACTTTTAGTGATGTACACAAGTCTTCTTTCCTTGTTGTAGTAATTTTTAGAAGTATATCCGCTGAGTGTCTATTAACTGTATGTCCATGATTATGTTTTATTAACTTTACATCCTGAATCATGTTGACTAACATTTAACTGTATATATAGGTACAAGGGCATCTATAGTTAGTTTTAGATATTGTTCATTGATTGGAGGAGTTGAGACTTGGGATAGCTCTTGGAATTTTTTGGGTCCAAATGAGACTGGAAGAACACTTGCCAAAACCTTTCATCACTATGTTTATTTGGACTTTGGGTTCTTTCAGTTCTCAGTTGGAATGTTTCCAGTCAAATATTACAGGGAATTTTTAAAATTGGTTTTAGTTAATTGTGTTACCATGCCTAAAGGCTGTAGGATCCATTAATGGTTCTAACACAGACCGAAAAGGTTGATGCTAAACCTTATTGATAACACCCCATTTTTTTGAATAAGGGGAGTGACAAATATGTGGATAAAAGAAACTTATGGAATTGTTCTCCGTTCTATTAGGTAGTAAAAACCAGAAATTTGAGAAATATGAATCTGCCATTATAAGCACTATCAGATCACTGCTCTGCATAATGATAGGAAAACTTAATAAGAATAATGACGATGTGAGCCTTTTTCCATTTCTAGTTTTCTGATAGTATGATCTTGCTTAGTTAATTCAAACACGGTCTCACAATCCCAATTTCCAAGACCTTGAAGGAACATAGGAACTGGACTAAACCTGTGAAAATATTCTTCAAAAATATACATTCATCAAATGACCACCAAAATAATCTCATCATCGAATTCTATAGACAAGAACAATTATTCTTCATAAGCAAAAGTCTATATTTATCCCATTAAAGATATAAGTAAAAGTTCTCCCAACTAGAAAATAATATTCAACCTAAAAAGAAAACTTATTACTACATAGTCTTCCAAAAGGTAACTAAACATCGAAGTCTTTATTCATCCTTCATCTAAATAAATAGCAATTTGCAATGTGGAAATTTATTCCTTGCTCCCTTCTAAGAATTTGCCAATTTGGAAAACCATCAACACTACCTAATCTCGAGTCTCTGGAAAAGGTGAATACAACACAATGAGTTCACAACTTAATAAGTTGACAAATTTATACATTAAACACTGGTTTTGCAAAAACTAAAATATTTCGACTCGATAAGCAAAATATTAAAATAGTAGAAAATCATAAGTGAACACACCAAGATGCAACATTTAAAATGTAAAATCCATGAGATGGAAAATAATTGGACCACGTCTCGATGCGGTCAACATTTCATACTCTGGTTGACTTGGTAAACCCCATAATTTTTAAGCCCGTGGTTTCGGGGCGGTGAGACCCAAATTTGGTTTGGTAGCGCTAATAAAAACCTCATAGAGGCACATTGAGCCCTGTTTAGATGACTTACTTTATCTCCGACATATACCGGTATATTGACTTGAGATGCATATGCTTTAAAAAAATGAACAAAGTTCTTATAATCAAATATTTTATCAAGAAATGCCAAAGGCCAACCAATAGTGAAATCAACCACATATGCATCTCAACTTACTACAATATAAAAAAAGACATGTTTATCTATAAAGAAAAATAAGCATGGCTTATACCAGATACTCGTGTGCGTCAGATCCAATCGACAAATAATATGCGAGTAAATCACACACAAAAAAAATAATACGTTGGGAACAAATCCACATATACTTAAATATAATTTTATATGAAAAATATGCAGTGCACAATGCTATAAATGCATAAATTCACCAGTTACCGTAAATCTGAAAGACAATCAAAATACCACTCACGACACCTCCTCGGAGTCATTTGAAGCCCTTTTATTTTGTGTGCATAGTTGATCTAATCTCTGCCACTTCCTGTCAACCGAGATCCAATGCTTTTGTGGCTACAAGAAAGAACACAAGTTCTTTTCTTTTCCTTTTTTTGTTTAGATGGCGGCTGCAGACTAGGTTATTGTTTTAATTTCTGATTTTTCACTAAACCCCCTCAAAACATATTACAATATCATGTGATATCCTGCTAGTACCTATTATTTATAGAAGACTCCTTTTATAATTTACTAATTACATATACTATCATAAAATCCAAATATATATGTTGCATTTACTGCTAAAAGAAAAATTAGGATTATTACACATGGCAATCGCTTTATTGGTATGCACATGCATTTGTTATTGACTAGCTATTGTAACATTATGCTAAAACTGCATTTTGTCGTCATGTTTACAATATTTATGATTTATTTCCAGAATAAATCTGTTAATCTCGCTTTTTCTGTGAGCTTAGTGCGCCTTGTCATGTTACTGAAGTGGTGTCAAGGTCAAATATTTTTGGAACTACAAATTTCGATTCATCAAGGTAAACTTATATCCTCTCAGTTAACTGTCTTTTTCTACATTATGTCAAACTGCTGCTGGAGTTAACTTCTTTCTGTTTATTTCAATTATCAAATAGAAATGAGTATAATATAAGTATGCTTACTTCAAAATTGAGCACCTGTTAATCATGTTTATTATTTATCTTGATATTTTTCTTTTCTCAAGTGTGAGAACTTGCAACATAGCTGGAATCTATTAACGTTGGGAGAAATCCAACAGCTTATCATGCTTTTCTTCGTGCCAGAACTTGAATTTGTGCTTAAAGTTATATCCATAGGTACCTTTATATGTATGTGCGCGCGCGCCCGTGCGCGTATGTAGAAAATCTTGTCTTTGGTCCACCATGAATTTGAGGGAGGGACTTAAATTCTTGTGTAATCTGGTCCTGTATCCAATTATTCTATATGTCTCCTTAGTCATTTTTCTTTTGTGATATTTGTGTAATATGTGCCCTAATTTAAACTGTAGCCAATCTGTATTGAATTGTTGGACTGGTATTGCTGCACCTTTGGATGCTTAAGATGGATACTGTGCTGGTTATGAAAATCAAAATGATTTGTAGAAAATTGACCGGAATGAGAATCTGTGGGATGTAATGATGAATGTGCACAAGAGACTTGTTATAAAAAAGGAGCTTTATTATGTTCATAAGGCTTGAGAAGAGCTTGCAATGTGTTGTACATCATCTGTCTTAATGGTAAAGCTCTTGTAGATGTCATTTAAGTTTGGCAATTATTCTCTTCAGTTATCCATGAGGACCATGACTAAGTATTGATATAGTCTGTTTCACATAGTTGTCTAGAGCCTTGAGGATCACATTCTCATTTGTGTCATTTGTCTTACTTCATGCTACAGTGTCTCCTATAGCAATCTTTTCATGTACCCATTTTTTGATATTTTCTGTCACAGGACAGATTTGGAGGATTGCTTCTTGTTTTTGAAAGTTAAATAAACCTAACCAACTTGGGAGGTTGATGTCCTGCTGATACCTAGTCACATAGTTTTCTCAGACTCTTTATTGAGCATATTCAACATGGCACATCAAGTGCAACCTATATGATGGAAAATAGCTTAGGTGATAATGGGTTTATGTATCTTTTGAATTAATGCAATTACTAGCTTCTAAATTTGCAGAAATTTGAAACCTGGTGATAAATATTGTACACATAATATTTAGAACTGAACTGATGTATCTTGATCTTTCAGTACTACATGGTTGCTTTCTGGAGGACTTGCTCGGGCACTCACCGCTGATAATGAGGGAAACAGTGATTCTCCTGAGTTGACAATTTCAGGTGCGTTGCTACACATTATTGCCTATGCATGTGCTATAGCCTTATTATTCCTACATTGTGATGTGATGCATATTTTTATTCTCTTAACTTGTTCTGCTTCGACATAAGTTGCATAGTTGTAGTTGCCAATGGTCATTTATTATGCTTCTTTTTCATGTTTTAGTCTGCCTTCTATTAGTCTGACCAGTCACAGTTTCAACTTTCAGATATGTCATTCGACAATTTCAGGATTGTTTTGGTATTTCTATGATGAAGCGATACACATACTTGACATATTTCGTACCCATGTTGTTGTCAGATAACTGACACTCCTTGAATATGCACCGTTCATTTATTAAGACATGATCTTAATTATATAATACATATTTTAATTTAAAACAATTATCATACACTTCATGGATATATAACCTATTGCTACAGTTCACATGCACTTATTAAAAGTTAAAACTCGTTGGATGTGAGTCAGGTTTGTTTCAATCCATACCCAGTCTAGAACTATGATGGTAAGGGGTTGTTTGGGTATCTATTTCAAAATAAGTGGTTTTCCAAGTTATAATCTACACCAAAAACATCAATACACACATGAGAAAAATGAGTATGCTTAAACTTGGTGCTTGGTAGTGAGGTGGATGCATCTCAATCCCGCATCTCAATCACACATCTAAGGTTGTAAAATACAAAGAGAAAATATGTTACATTGGTATTGAGGTGGCGACTCATTTTCGCCAAATGAGCTATCAAGAGATAGCCATGTGATGAGGCCCACCTCAAAGTCACATCAAAATGAGTGACTTCACACTTCTATCTGTTGGTGGCTCATTTTGCTAAATGAGCTTCCACCTCGTAATTTTCAAACCCTACACACACAGCCATGTCTTGTACTCATTTTGATGCACATAGCTTCTGAACAACTCCAAGGGCACTCCAGAAATATAGAAATCACATCATATCACCTATTTACTCCAGCATCAACACTTCAAGATCTATACTCAGAATGATTGTGACTAAACTTCTTGATGAATTTCATTAAATATAGATTGATTGCTTCTCTCTGGTTTTTCCTGAGTCAGTACACAGTTATACACTTTTTCTCTGAGTTCATGTGTAAGTCAAGTGGTGCAATAAAAACAAAATGGAGGCACATGTCCTCCCAAATTTTAAAATTATCTTTACACATACTTTGAGTGGAATTGCAGAATCACTGTCCCCCCAATCCCCATGCTCCGCCACCCCCCCCATCCCCCCTCCCCCCCCCCCCAAAAAAAAACAAAAAAAAAAAAAAGAAAAGAAAAGAAAAGAAGGACCTCTTGCAGAAAACCTCATTCTATCCAGCTTGCCTGATTACCTTCTCTGATATCTACTAGAAAGCTTCCCTCTTCTATCTGAGGTTTACATCTGGTGCCTTAAAATTTGCATTCATTTTATTTTCATGTCTCAGACAGTGTTGTCTAAAATATAATTTGCATGTTTCGAACTCAGAAAATACTTCTGTTTATTGTGTACCATTTCAGTGCTGAATTTTACCATTCAGCTTGTGGAAAAAGGTGGGGATGACAACTTGGCTTCTGCTCTGGTGGTATTTTCTCTTCAGTATGTCCTAGTTAACCATATGCACTGGAAATACAAGTCGAAATGTGCTCGCTGGAAAGTTACTCTGAAGGTACTCTTAGTTTCCTTTTTCTCCCCTTACATATAATGCCATATCATTATTTTTTATGTTTGCAATGTAGGAGATCTTTCACTGAAATCTGTGTAATTATCTTTGCCTTTGCCAGTTAAATTGTGTCTTCTTTTTAGTCCATAAATGGAAAACTGTGAAGCCTTTTCTGGACTGTTAGCTACTTACTAGACCGGTTGTTTTATTCGTGTCTTAGTCTTTACTATTATATCTTAAATTTGATTGTCTTCTCTGTTTACAAGAATATTTTTACAATTTTCTTTTTTTAGGCATTAGATGTTATGAAGAGCTGTATTGAAGTAGTTAAGGTTGATCGGAAGCTTGGCTCAACTATCCGCGACATTTTATTCTTTGATTCGTCAATTCACAATATTCTTTGTCAGATTATCTCTGTGTCACCTACAGAATTGGAGGTCAGTATTGGCATGTCATGTTTCCTTTTTATAAAGCACATTTAGCAGTTATCGTTGGATGTGGATCGTCTTGCTGACGGAAACTACTGACGATACCCAGAAATCAAATATCAGTCGCCATTATGAACTGAAGGAGATTGAAAGCTTGCAGCTTGCTATTTGTTATGGGTTGGATATTGTTTACAGTTTGCTAGCTGACTTCTTGAAGGTATATCTACTTACAGAAGGTTAACATTAAACATTCTTAGTTGACTTTGTTGTATTTAGGAAGGACATTCTTGACTAAGTGCCACTTGTTTGATGTTATTGTAGCATATATATTTCCATTTGCAGATTTGTATTAAATTACTCTGTATTTAAATGTTTCAATCGTATAAAAGTACGGCTTATGTGGATCACCAATTGTGCGTATACGGGCACAGTAACTCCATAATGTAGGATCGATGGCCTATGACAAAACAAACACTAGAAAGCGGAAATTAATAGTTTATAAATCTTTAATCAGAAAAGTTACTAACTGAAAAGATAATGAATAACAACACAAATCACAGAAAAATAGACAAATACAAACACAATGATTTATCCTGATTTGGTCCTTCAGACCTACATCCAGTCCCCAAGCCAATCCTGCTTGAGATTTTTCTTTCTTTGATTTGTAAATCCACAAACCAACCTGACCTTGAACACCACAAGATCAAACCTGACCAATTGACAAAACCATGCCAATTGCAACCAATCTCTAAACCAAGAGATCTTATCTCAAATCCGAGAGAAACCTTCTTTGAAGAAATGTACAAATCCCTATAAACCTTGATGTGAATGTGAAGTGCAGCAGTGGCTTAGGAATTTAAACTCTCTGAAAAATTGCCTAAACAATTTCTAGTAATGATGGAGAACAAAGGCAATCTCATAATTTTCTTTTCCTGACAATTTGAATGAGAATTTGTATCAAGAGAATGAATTTGATCAAAATTCGAATCTTGTATGTATTAACGTCACTGATCAAATTCTGATGTTCTGACCGTTTATAGCCTTAGAAATATTCAAAATTTAAACCAAATTAATGTTTACAAACGGGTATAAACGATCACTAATTCAAATTCAGAACAGTTAGAAAACTGTCTTTGTAATCGACTATAAGGTTTAGTAGTCGACTACACTGAGTCTATTTAGACTCCGTGAAGTCAAGAAACAGATTAATAGTCGACTACTTAAGGCATTAGTCGACTAATCTGTAAAATTTAAGTTTCTGTAAGTTGAACCGAGAATGAGTAGTCGACTATTAAGCATAGTAGTCGACTAATCTGTAAATATGAAGTTTTTGTAACTTTGACTAAGGCTTTTATAATCGACTACTAAGGGTATTAGTCGACTACAGATACATAGATATGAGATATTTGATATGTTTTGAGACTCACTCTATATCTATAAACTCTAATGGTTAACTTAGGGGATTTCTATAGTTAACCACACACTAAACATGTGTTAGTGTGTTCTAAATACTATGTGCATGTATGTGTTGTGAGTGTTTAGTGTGTGTGATCAAGGCTTTTAACAAAGATTCTACCCAATGAAAGAAAACCCAAAATACAATTATATCATTGAAGCATCTTGATTTCTTTCATCTCCAAATAGCCTTGTATCAACTTCAATTGCCTTGTATTGTCTTGTGTCTTGAGTATCTTTTTGAATATCATTGTTGATTTTGCTCCGATACTGCAAAACATATGTTAGCACAAAATACACACAACATATAATATTTGTTATCATCAAAACAAACATATATTGGGGTCAAGATATCCAACACATAAATGCTTATTTTATGTGTTGATTGGTAACTAGAGGCTAGTTAGCAGATGGCGAGCATACAAAAATTATCATGTTGTGCTTGATAATTAGGAGTGAATCATGATAAATATGCAAACTGAAAGATGATGTCATGTCATGTTGATCAACTGAGTTTTCATACTCAATTCAACTTGAAAAAGAACTTATTTATTATGTGCATTCACAGCATGTTTGTTATCATCTTGACATGTTCTTGACCGGATGAAAGTATATAATTACAGAAAATTGAAGATACGTCACACTTCGGCATTTGGTATGCCAGTGTTTACTGTGCTTCATGTGATGTCTACCAGCAATATTGGTTGTGCGCCCATAGACCATGAAAGAAATTGATGCTGTATGCAGGAATGTCTTATCTAGATTGGAATTTAAATAAGATTTCTTATAGGGTTTTGGTGGTATGCGAGGTTTTCTAAGCATTGATGCCGTACTACTTTAAATCTGTTTCTATATCGGAAGACCACCAGAGAACAAAATTTTGATCGCTCCTGATCTTTGTCCTCAGTATCAATGTATCATAAACCATTCATCCGGAATTCTGGTTAAGTTTTCTCCTTTCTTAAGTGCAGTTAGACCTTTGATGAGTGAGTCAGTGTAAGCCCTCCAGTCAGAAGAGAAAAAGATAAACAACGGAACCTCCTTTACGCGTAGAGTATAATTAAAAGAGCATGTAGTTTGAGTTAGGATGCATTTGCCTTAAATGGACTTTTTTTTGGTCCCCCACCTGAAGGAAAAAAATACTATACCCAATTATCTTCCTTTTTTCTAACTGCCTATCTGCACCACAACCTTCTCTTTCTTCACCCTTTCCCATCCCGTCATGTGTCTCTTTGTCCCTCTAACATCTTGCATTACTGCTGATACTAGTCCATTATAACTACATCATTATTTCTTTTAACTGATATTTATTCTTCACATTTCTACGTCAGTGAAATATGTTGCTTTAATCATAAGCTCTTGATTTAGTTTTAAGATATTGATTAACTTACTGCTTTGTCATTAAAGGTAACATTTTTATGCACAACTACTTCTTTTGCACTAAGCTGTCTTTGAGTTATGCCTATATCTTCTTTTAACTATAACCATACATATATTCTCCTTTAGAGTAGAAGTAACTAGCTTTACGCCATCATATGTGTTTTAATTTGAAGCATAATACTCAAGCAAATTAGCAGCTTTCAGCCAACGTTGGTAATTTTGTATAATGCTGTTTTTATGCTAACATATATTTTTTAACTAGGGCTAAAGTTGAATTGAGTTCATGTAATGACTTAAATTTGTCTATAAGCAGTAATTTATAAACTGCACAGTAGTCATCATGTAAGTGCATATAAGTAAAGTACATCTGATTTGTTGATTACAGAAAGCAATTTTGATTGTCACTTAAGATTATTTTGAGTCGTCTGTTCACATTCTTGATTTTGCAACCTTATTTTGTTTTATAGTTAATCTTATTGCTGTAAAGCCTATTCATCTGTTTGCTTATTTGTCTTCTCTACAATATGACCTGATGGTAATTTTTCTAGTGCGAGAAGTTTCAGGAAACATTTTCGAAGGCACCAGTCTTTATCCAAACAATGCTGTCATCTACAAGCAAGCAAATTCCTATAGTTGAAGCAGCAGCAACATGGATAAATTTCGTCCACAATTCTGTAAGGCCTGGCCCTTAATTTATTATTTCATATCTATCTACTGGGTTCTTATGTATGAAATGCACATAAAATAATCAACTCCAAACACCAGTGGTTATTACCTGTGTTAACTTTCCAGAACATAAGTATCTTTCTGTTTTGTTCAATGGCAAAAGGTGCTTAGCTGGGAATTCCTCCAATATTTTGTAGTTACACCAAATACTGCTGTAAATGGGGGCAATTGTAGCATCAAAATTTCACTATATTCTCATGTTCTATGATAAGTTTTTTTATACTTTCTTCGGTTTGGTGATGTTTTCACATTGGAGTGGTCATAGTGTCGAGAGTATTTTTTTAGCTTCTATGTATTTATTTTTGGGTTATTTTGTTACGCTATGGTTTTATCGAAATTTTACTGTAATGAATGAACTGTGAAGGCTGTCCATGCCCTCACAAGTGTCATCTTGGTGCATATGATGAGTCAGGTGACATTCCAAAGTTTGAAGCTGTGATGAGTCGGAGGCTCATAGTATTAGTCCTTTTTTTGCTATAAAATTTGAAGCTATTGATAACGAGATTTGTAAACCAAAGCCAAGTCATGTACCAGTCAAGGTCTAGTTGTTCATTAGGTAAGTAGCGTGTTATCCATACATGGTACATCCTGTTAATCAAACCTGAATAACTTGTCTAACATACACGAGTCACTAGTTTATCTAACTAGCTTTGGATAAACAGAAGTTCTCTTGCTGTTGGTGTATCTTATGTCTTCCCATTGGAAATCGATAGTTTTGATGGGTCAATATCTTGCTTCATCTGAATTCTTAGAGAAAAGCTGATGTTCAAGCTGATTTTGCCTTGAGTGTCCTTATCTCATGCCTATGGAAGACCAAAGGTATTGATAGAGCACCTGCTGGAATTTGTTAAAACTTACTGAAGGTAGCATCTCTTTCCACTGTTTAATCCATGGATGTTAATTATTATTTCTTGCAACCTGCAATTTTCTTTTTCTGGATTTGGTGATTGTGCTGCCGCTGTAACTGTATGACTAAAGTTTCTCATGATATGCGATCACAACAGTTTGTTGAAGACACTGCAGCTTCTGAAATGCTGTCATTGGTCAAGTTTGTTACTTATTTTCCTTTTCTTAATTTTCTAATTCAATTTTTTCTGAACATACATATTGTATTTTGATTGGTTGTATTGATTATTATACACTTGTTGCCTATACTTTGTTTTCTATTCACTAGACATGCATGATTTATGTGACTTCAATCCTTTTCAAGCTAGTTGTGTTTCTCTGATGTTGAGTGGTGAGGTATTCTGACTTGAATAAACAGGAAATTCAAATGGCTGCTGCTAGAGTTTTCTCAAAGCTATGTGTTATTGCATCAATTGTCCAACCATATAAAATTGAAAATGTTACCCTTGTTGTTGACGCCATACAGGTTTGCATCTTTAAGTTGGTCAGATTAAATAAATTGTAATGAATAATGATTCTAATCCTTTTCTCTCTTTTTTCTAATTCTATTCCTGACACTTCTGTTCTTTCAGATTAAAGAGTTGCACAAAACCATCCTCCACATTTTCATTGAGGAACTGGACAAAAACGAATATTTGCTCACAAGTATGCTTGAGCTTCTGACTTCTGCTGCTCGGTATCAGGTTTTTCAACCTATCCATCGTGCCATACTTTTAGCTCCAGAAGACCTGATTTTCTTAAGCATGATTGAGAATTGATTATAGAGTTTTTAGTTGTGCAACATTATTGTCAAATAATTTTACTCAAAAGTTTTTCAGGTATAGAGCACAATAATAAACTGAAATGGTTTGGAAGAAAGGGTTTTATTATTTGCAAATTTAACGTTTCCCCTGAGTGGCATATCAGTCGATGGTTACATACTCAAGGCTCATGCAACAAAAGGGCTACATGTCCTGGCAAAATAGGTAGATGATAGGATTTTTTAGGGTATTGATTCTTTTCACAATGATGTTTCGAGGAAGCTAGTGTAGCAATAGACAATGTTGTAGAAAGCGCTAGGCTCTTCTAGGCACTTGACCAAGCACCGAGGCGCCTAGGAGCCTAGCGGATGTTTAAACGGCACATAGGTTTTTTTAGCATCAAGAGAGGAAGGATTCTTTTCAAAGATTCATAATTCTATTCCGCCATTTACCTAAGAGGGACTTGGATATCAAGTTTTTGATCCATTTTGACTTGGCCCATTCTCTTCATTCATTAGTATGCCAAAGCTAGTCTTGTATTCCCTTTTGATGTCTTGCGGTCCGCATAAGCAGCCAATGCCGTGAGCAGCCTAAATCCTGCTTAGGCCTAGGCAGGCACCCAGACTGCTTTTTCAGACGATGACAAGAGACCATATTCTGATCCAAACAGAGCCACGTTCCACTGTTTTGGAGATGATAGCTGGTGAAAATGACTGTATTTGTTTAGGTCAATTAATTAGAAGAAAATTATTTAATAAGAAAACCAAATGTAGTCTCATTTAATTAGAGTAGTTATTCAACTAAGAATTCTTTATAATCTTTCATATACAAATGTATATAAATTAATTACAGATACATTATTAGGATACTAACATTGATATGTATTACCTTGTCTAAACTTCTAGCCTGTGTCCGTGCGTGCACGCATAAATATGGGCACAGAAGTGTGGCATCTTCATTTTACAATCTACTCTGTTGAATTATTTTGTTAGGAGTACCTATAGGTTAAAATAATTTTCACCATGCATATATAACAAATGGGTGGTGGAAAAATGGTATTTTGCTTAAACTTAACGCTTTCAGATATGGATAATTTTGATCCAAAATTCAATCTTGGATTTTGACACTAAAAAGAACTCTTACAAACCATTTTTTTAAGATTTATATATTATATACCATTAACTAAGCGACTGGTTCTAGGGTTTCATTTCGCATGTTAATGATACATGGTCTGAACAATTTTTTAAAGAAAATTGGCTTTTGGTTTTCAAGCAATTTAGATGATGTAAATTAACCTCTTCAACGGGGAAGACCTTCCGCATGAATTACTGACTGTTGTATTTCAATGGGTAGGAGTTGGTTCCAAATTACTAACGAAGCAGTATCCTGGTTTCTATAAGATAGTAATGGAACATTTACAAAATTCCCAAATGAGCTTGAGAAAATCTCCCAGGACCTTATATTATTTCCTTGAGTTATGCACCACTAGAGAGAAAACCATCTAATATAAAGCAGATATCTTTTCTTTTCTTTATTTTTCCTTTTTTTCTTCTTTTTGTTTTTTGTCTGTTACACATCATTTGCCCATACACAGATATCTATCCTAGACAACAAGCACAGCTAAATTCCCATGACCCCTCAGTCTCATTCGCCTTGTTCTTATTAACAATTTCCAAATGACTTCTGTCAGTTTCCTCTCTCTTCTTGAGGTCATGGGTCTGTTCCTAAAAAGTTCCTTGCTAATCTGACCTCCACTTAGGTGCAATGAATTTCATTCAGCTGTAGAACTTAGCCTCTCAGTCCCATAACCTGGTGAGAAGCTCATTGACCCAACACAACCATTTCTTCATCTGAGCATCCTACATAGCATAACCAAATCTGAACAATGTATATAGTTATAATGAAAACCTAGCAATGAGTTCAAGTCCCTTCTGACCTTTTTCTGCTAAATGATTAATGTTATTGTTAAGATCTATAAAACTGCTTGTGTGGACCATTATGCTGAATTTACAACGCTTATGTTTGATCATATACTACCATTGTGCACAATGGTATCAGTATTCTAACCATGTTTGGCTATCTTTTATTTTGTTTAATTTGTTCGTCATCTGGCTGTTAAATGCTTTTGCCAACCTGAAATGGCTAGTTGTCCATCTATACTGTATAGTTCATTCTCAAGATTAAATACTTATTCAGTTATTTGCCAACTTTACCATCTTGCTTTGTTCTAGTAGTCTTACTAATTTAAGATCACATCTTTCAAGAATTTCTTAGTATCTTCTGTTTATTATGTGTACCAACTCCTAGATCTGTTATATCTAGGTCTTCACTCATATTAAGTACCAATTGATTGTCATATAATATGACCTTGTCTTTTTTTTTCCAGCCAACTATTCTTGTTTCCTTGATGTTGATTGAGGAGGATATGAAGGCAACAACTACTAGTTCTGACAATACAAAACAGCAGATCTCATTGGTGCCTTCCGTTAAGTCTGAACTCATCAATGCAGAAAGCATTCTTGACTTGATCTTAAAGTTTGTCAAGAGGTTTGAGATTCTTTTCGAGAGGTAATTAAATGTGGGTACAATTTGTCCTTGTGTTAGAATTTAATTTAAGGTGCTGAAATATGTGTTCCTAATTCTTCAATTTATCATTGAAACTTAGAATTTTCCTTTAAATGCTAATTTTTCGCCTGTCAGCTAATATTTTTTTTGAACTATTTCCTGGAAATAGTTGAAAATATCAGATTTTCCGGACATCAAAATGTCAGCTAACTAATAGTTTGAAATTTGAAAGGTGAACATAATTTGGAACTGAATATCTTATAGAGAATTTCATGACTTGGTGAAATTTCTTGATTTGTGCAGTTCTCCTCAATTGTTATTGAGTATTCTTAACTTGCTAAAGGCATTGTGGGATGGAGGTGTCCTATATTTGCATATCTTGGAGAAGATTAGAAGCTCAGAAATGTTCTGGAAGCATATATCATCTATTTTAGCAGTCCAAGTGAAGATAAATCTTTCAGCTAAAAATATGAATGTTTCTGATGTTCAATGTGTCTCATGCAGGTATTTCTGTTAAGTTCGTACCACAAAAGAAATAGTCTGGTAGAATGTTTTCTCTATTTGACCTGCCTCTGAATAACAGGTACATGTGCCAGGGTGCGGTTTTGGACATTTTGTCTCGTGAATTGTTCTTATGGGAAAAGACGACACTGAATGAAACACCTGAAAAAGAAACTGCTTTTGGTAATTCAAAAGAGCACAGCGAAAATAGATCAAACACTGAAACATCAAAGTCGTCAGATGTGTCACATCCAAGTGAAATTCTGCCAACTTGTTTTGTAACTTCAACCATTGATAATCTTATAAGAGCATACTCATCTAGTGGATGTGATAAGGAGATTATTCTCCGTGCCAAGGTGAGCAATTGGACAATTATTTTACCTTGCATAAATGTGTTGATATCATTTTTAGACCTACTCCTGCCACATAATAAACTGCTAGTTTCGTGCTTCATGTGGTTAGATATCATGTTTTCTAGTTTAGCAGCCTTCTTATGAATATAAATGTTCTATCTATTGGTAAATGGTTCTATATTAACTCTAGAGATAGCACAAAAGAATTATGGCAATAAAGGCAATTCAAAGTCGTACATCAGACTGTACATGATGAGTGTTCTTTTTGCACTGTTAATGGCCGAAAACTTGAGTAGCTGAAATCTCTGACAACTTCTTGTTATGAAATTCTTTAGTTCGTTGAATAATGAATTTAATGCGGAAAATGTTCATATTGCTCTTTTATCGTCCATGATCGGATTCATATTTTGTCATAATCAAGTACAATTTGGTATCATTAGCAAAGTAATTTAGTGGCAGCCTGTCTACAACTGAAGGATAAACTTATTGACATGGTCATATCTATTCCTTATTTTAGCATTCAAATGGGGAGAAGTATAAGGAACCTGGTT